CAACTACGGGTTGGGTGTAGAAGTGATTCAGAGCAGCCCTGCAGAGAAGGACTTGGGGGTGGCGGTCAATGAGAAACTGAACATGAGCAGGTTCAGTGTGTACTCACAGCCCAGAAACCACCTGTGTGCTGGGCTGCATCAAAAGGAGCATGACCAGCAGGTCAAAGGAGGTGATCCTGCCCTTCTACTCTGCTCTCATGAGACCCCACTTGGAGTATTGTGTACAGTTCTGGTGTCCTCAACATAAAAAAGATATGGAGCTGTTGGAGTAAGTCCAGAGGAGGTCACGAGGACGATAAGAGGACTGGAGCACCTCCCGTATGAAGACAGGCTGAGAAAGTTGGGGCTGTTCAGCCTGGAGAAGAGAAGCTGCGTAGAGACCTCAGAGCAGCCTTCCAATATCTGAAGGGGGCCTACAAGGATGCCTGAGAGGGACTCTTCATTAGGGACTGTAGTGATAGGACAAGGGACGATGGGTTCAAACTGAAACAGGGGAAGTTTGGATTAGATAGAAAGAAGAAGTTCTTTACAGTGAAGGTGGGGAGGCACTGGCACAGGTTGCCCAAAGAATTTGTGAATGCTCTATTCCTGGCGGTGTTCAAGGCCAGGTTGGACAGAGCCTTGGGCAACATGGTCTAGTGTGAGGCCAACCTGCTCTAGTGGAAGGTGTCCCTGCCTATGGCAGGGAGGTGGAACTGGATGATCTTAAGGTTCTTTCCAACCCAAACTGTTCTATGATTCTGTGATTACTGACAGGAATCATAATTGCCTACACCAAGTTGCACTGCAAAACATATAGGGGGTCAGTAGCATGCTTTAAAGTTCAGACCTTAAGCTTCTTGTAGTCCTTCTTAATATTTGAGACTTTAATGCATCCTTTTTTGAACCTTTGCCTAGGTGTGCATGCTTTGCTCAGTAGGATATCATCTTTTCTGTTGTCACCGCTCGGAGAAGACCAGCCGGCGATGGATGGCATTAGATTATGCAGGAATTTCCATCGGGATCCTGGGCTGCTATGTGTCAGGCGTCTTTTATGCGTTTTACTGTAATAACGTAAGTTTAAAGTGCTTGTTTAGTTCCTGTGGTCTCAGTGGCATAGCCTCCACACTGTAGAAAGTGAGTTCCTTGCAGGGTAAACAGTAGACAGGAGGCAGTGACGGAAACTGAAGCAAATTCCTTCAGACAGAACTCCACTTGCTGAAGTGATGGGCAAATTGAAGTTTCCTTTCAAGCTCTCACTTGCATAAGCCTCAAGAAAATACTTGAATTCATATGAAGGCAGGGTACATGTCCCAGGTCCTGTCTTTGTCACAGGCCTGAGGCTGATGATGGGATGTGTCCCCATCACAAGTAATTCAGACATAATTTCCCATTAGGTAGCTTACATGAGGCAGAAACGAGCTCATTTTCTCTTGATCTAATAGAGGACAAGTTAAACGGGTTCCCCTTTGAAGGGTTAGACTACTTCCATGCCTACAGCTGAATAAGCCTGCCGAGGGTCAGGTGGATTTAAAATGTTTTGGTGAAGGCACCCCATGTTCTGACGTGTGTACCTGGGGCACAGAATCCCTTCTGCTCGCTGTCAATCAATAACCACAAGTCCATTCATTCAAACCCCCCTCTTGGTGCTCGCAGCAGTGACAGGAGGTTTGATATATCATTATATTTCATACTGTGAGCTTTCTACCTGTAGTTTACTTTTATACCTGATAAGAAAACTCACAAACTTGCTTTTGTTTCTTTTTTCCTCAGTACTGGCGTCAAGTATATTTAATCACTGTGCTGGCAATGATCTTGGCAGTATTTTTTGCTCAGATTCATCCCAGTTACCTCACGCAACAGTGGCGCAGACTTCGCTCCATCATCTTCTGCTCCGTGTCTGGATACGGAATCATTCCCACCATCCACTGGGTTTGGCTCAATGGTGGCATTGGTGCATCTATTGTACAGGTAAAAGAGAAAAAGAAAGAAATAAGGTTCCCTTTTACCTTTTGCTTTTCCTTCAGTCCTCTTACCCTTTGGAAAATGAGGGGGAAGCAGCACAGACTTCTTTCAGGCCATCCAATCTAAATGCAATCACTTAGAAATTTATTGAGAAGCAGTAAACAGGTTGAGTAGAATAGATCTGATGTGAAAGTGCATCATGAGAAGGAAAACTGGATGTAAGGGTGACTGGGCATATATGCCTGAGGAACTGAGCAGACCCTGTGGGAACATTCCACCCTGGCTCACCCCAGGGAGAGGGGCAGGAGCCAAGAGCTGAATAGACTGCGGAGCCGCCACAGCTCCAGAGGAGACAGAGGAACTGGGATACACTGATGGAATGACCATTGGCTTCCTCTTCTGTCCCCTAGGTTGGCAGCAAAAATCAGTATTTGCCTACTCAGCCTTCTGTCTCTTACACAACTGGCATTTCACATCACCATGAAGTAACTGAACTGTTTTCCCGTTCTTGTTTTATTACCACTTAGAATTATGCTCTGGGGAACAACCAGCACAGTGTAGCTGGAGACAGTAACGTATGTCCTGACATGAAAACCCCCAAAATCATATTGCAGTTCCCCAGGGACCTACCTGTCCTGAAAAAAAGACATTTATTTTTTAAGAGTGAGTAGTGACTGTGCATGGCAGTCCTGGGGTGAAGGTTTGACTAGATGATCTTAAAGGATTTTTCCAACCTAGTTGATTCTATGATTCTCTGTTCTGCTGGAGGGCTGTCACCTGGGGTGATGGCTTAGCCCAGTCCAGAGCTGCTCTTGAACGTGGAAGAACAACATTTATGAATGGATGCAGTCTTTAGACGGAGCACTTGACACTGGCTTTTGCAAAATCATAGAAACTGTAGTTGTCTCCCACGCCTTCCCCCATTTAGTGTCTCCTCGTATAGCAGAATCCCAACTGGTAAATGAGATCTTGCACTGAAGTCTCACTTATCCTGTGTTAGCTCAGTGTACTGGAAGATGTCCTTTGCCTGAGAGATGTCATGTCATCTGCAGGCTGTACAAAAATACCGAGTAGCTTGTGTACTGAAGCAGAGAGGTCATAATAAAACAAGTTTCTTCCCATTCAGATTTTCTGAAACTTGGGCATTTGCTTCCATCTTGGATTTTGTCTGTAGATAACATAGGCAGTAAAGTAAGATTCAGTTTTGTCATGCCTTTTTTATTTGTAAGGACTTTATTTTTTGCTATTTTTACTTTCTACCAGAATAGGAGAGCTTCCTTTTCTTTTGCAGGAGTTTGCTCCGCGTATAGTTGTCATGTACTTCATCGCTGCTGTAGCTTTTCTCTTCTATATTTCCAAAGTTCCAGAAAGATACTTCCCAGGTAGGAAATTCTCTTCTGGATGTTGTTTTTTTCCTGCAGTTTAGCTTCCTGCAGTGTCACAGTCCTTGCTGTGAGTCCTCACCTTCCTGTGAGAGAACAGGTTGACCTTCCCCATTAAGTGTTCCATAGAGTAGAACACTGCGTGTATTTGCATCCAGAGGTGGCCGACAACTTGGGATCAAGTTCGTTAGAGAACTTGTGCTGCCTCCCTGCAAGTGGCCTGTGTAGTTGAGCTCTGGAGGAGACTGATTGCTAGTTGCATTGCATGAGTTATTGCCAAATGGAATGACTTGACCACTTGCCCTTTCTCTTGACCACAGGCCAGCTGAACTACCTCGGCTCGAGTCACCAACTGTGGCATATCCTTGCAGTGGTGATGCTGTACTGGTGGCATCAGTCCACAGTGTACATCATGCAATACCGACACAGCCAGCCCTGTCCTGACTATAGCCCAGGCTTGTGAGTGAAGGTACAGCATATCTCATACTCTGGGGAATAGGGTCTTCTAACAAGCGTAGGGTTAAGTAATCCTGTCCCCAGTTTCAGTCAACCTCACTCATTAGCTTCCCCAAAGAAAATCATGCCTGCTGTAGCACTTGTGGTAAAGAAAAAAGTGGTGATCTTGAGGCCAGGCACTCTGCTCATCTTTACTGCTGTGTTGCATGAGGCTGCAGTGCCCTTGAGCAGAGTCCTAGAGCAGGCTGAACATGGCTCTGCCAGATCCCTTTCAGCTCTGTTCCACAATTTAATAGCCTCAAGCTGTCATTAGCCTTTGTTCCCAAGTAGCCTTATACTCAGGTTTTGTCAGGTTTTCAGCCAACTAGGCATTGAGCTGGATTTTTTGTTAATTGGGTAAGAGTTGATCAGTGGTAAATGCTCCATCCCTGGCAGCGTTCAAGGCCAGGTTGGACAGAGCCTTGGGCAACATGGTCTAGGGTGAGGCATCCCTGCCCATGGCAGGGGGTTGGAGCTGGGTTGATCTTAAGGTCCTTTCCAACCCAAACCATTCTGTGATTCTATATAGATAATTAGTGACTGAACTTGGTTTCCCACTGTATTTCAGATGAAAATTCTGACTTTGAAGGTCTGCACCTTACCTGCTGAGCTGAGCTATGAGGTGAAGCACTGAGGCAGTTCCTTTTCTGACTTCTGGACTGTTACCTGGTTGCTGTTGTGTTATGGTGACATTTGAAAAAACCAGCAGCGTGGCCTGGGATCCGAGCTGCATTTCCTTCCTGTTCTGCAATCCAGTATAAAACAGTTCTTCCTGGAGTGGGACAAGGCAAAGATGGGCTGTAAGACTCAGCATTTTTTCTGCTTGGGAGACACAAACAACAGAACTTGGTCCCCTGCTGAGCTCCCCAGCCCACATACCAGGTGTTGAGGTTTGGCTCAAGTGCATCATAAATACACAGCTCCTGCCTGTGTGTGTAAATCCACAGTAACTGTGGGGCCTCGTCCTGGATCTAAATCACAGTGGTACAGCGTGTTGCAACCACAGCATTTTTATCTGAATGACTTCCTTCAGCAGTGGCACAGTAACTCCTTTACTTCTTTCTTCTTGAGTAACTCTTTTACTTTGGACAAGCTCTTCTTTTTCTGGAAGACAAGATGAGGTGTCATCCACCATAGCTACCCCTTCCTTTCAGATCCTAAAACTTGCCAATATGCATACTGCCACTACTTCAAGAGATTTCTCTAGATCCCTCCAGCAGTTTGGAATCGGTGTTATAAACGACGTCAGGAGCAGTGCTAAAGCCTCTGTGCTCACCCTTGTTCATAGAATCGTAGAAGAGAGCTGGAAAAGACCTTAAGATCATCTAGTTTCAACCCCCCTTGCCATGAGCAGGGACCCACGTTGCCCAAGGCTCTGTCCAACCTGGCCTTGAACACCGCCAGGGATGGAGCATTCACAGCTTCCTTGGGCAACCTATTCCAGTGCCTCTCCACCCTCACTGTAAAGAACTTCTTTCTATCTGTCTAATCCAAACTTCCCCTGTTTAAGTTTG